ACTTGTTTACAGCATGAGAGCGGAGACAAGCAGCAGAATGTCACTCTATTTGACCTCAGCTGGGAATATGCACAGAGGGCAACACAAAATTTTCACTAATGTACACATAGGCATTTTGTGAATGACTGCAAAAAAAGCCTCCAGTATTGATTTTTGCATTATAAATAACTTTTAGTGAGTAGGCAAATTTACAAATATAGAAGCTGCAAATAGTGAGGATCAACTGTATTTGTTTATGTTTTGGACTTTTTCACTAGCCTGAGAGCTTCTTATAGGAAGAGTTGATGTCTGTACCAGCTATCTTGTCTGTGCCCCTTCACATTCTCTCCTCTCCTCACCCTGCTCTCTGTCCCTGGAGATTGACCTCTAAGGACTACCCTACAACGGCTTCCTTGTCCTCTGGCTTCCAGTTGGGTTTGACCAACAAGCCCCAGCAGCTGATGAGAGAAAGGGAGGCAAATATGGAAGGATGTTTATTCCCCTGGCTTGAGTCTTTCCACATTCAAATGACCCCTCCCTCTCCTTGTCCCTCCAGGCTTAGGGATGGTAACTACTTGTCTCAGTCCATTTGGGCTGCTATAACAAAATACCTCAGGCTGGGCAGTTTACGAACAATGTAAATTTTTTTCTCACAGTTCTGGAGGCTGGAAAGTCCACAATCAAGGCACCAGCATATGTGGTGTCTGTTAAGGGCTGCTCTCTGCTGCACAGATGGTGCCTTGTCACTGTGTCCTCATATGGCAGAGGGGTGAACTAACAGAATCCCTCAAGCCCTTTTATAAGGGTCCTAATTCCATTCATGAGGGTAGAGCCCTCATGACCTAATTACCTCCTAAAGGCCCCACTCTTACTCCTACTGCATCAGGGATTCAATATGAATAAATTTCAACACAAATTTTGGAGGGTCACTGAAACCATAGCACTACTCCTCAGCTGGTATTTTCCTCTGTGCCACTTTGTAAGGTTCTCCTAAACCTGACCATTTTATAAGTAAGCTGTCCTTGAAGTATCCTAATTTGAGTGTGAAATATTTGGTCCCTAACTCATAAGATATCTTATTAATCTTTTCTGACCATGCACTTAACACAGGGCCATGGGAGATAAATGATAATTACATATGAAATAAATAAATGATCTCTGAAACTCCTTCTGACAGTATCTGAATGATTCTGTTATCCTATAAGCCAACTATACATTATGCCTTTGGTAGAATCTCAATGCCATTGTAGATATACTCATACGCTCACACACCCAGTGCTGGCACCAAGGAGTAGCTCTGGGGAGTGGGCTTTGGTGCATGAAATTTCCAGCACCTTTCTTATAGCCGCTGCAAATTAATATATATCCTAAAGTAAAAACGTGCTTAAGGTGCAAGTGCGGCTTCCAAACCCAACCCTCTCTTCCTGATCATGTCATCTTCCCAAGCCCCTTTAACTACGGAATCCAGAGCTCCCCTGCACATGCTGACACATACACTCCTCGTCTGGCTGAATGAGATACGTTCTGTCTCTTCCTCACAATAATGGGCTCATGTGATGGGAAATTCCAGGGAGAACAGGGTCCTCTAAGAAACAGATCTGTTCATCCAACCTGCTTTAGAAGTTTCCCATGTGGATTATTTTGCCAGTGATAGACAGGCCCAGAGGAGAGTCCTAAGAAGAACTGAGTGGAAGCCACAGGCTTTCTCAATCATGCCTAATGGTCCCCTGATGCATGAACTGGCTCCTGCAATGGACATGAGCATTTGGTGAACTGAAAAGTCCAGAGTGCTTAACATGCCCACACCACAACAACCCAGCACTTATTTCACTGGGATTTTAAGAGGGAGTGGAACAGCCATTCACTATGGTCCAACAGCGACTGAAAAACTCCAAATTACAATTTTCACATGTCACCCACACAGCAGATGACAGTGAATGAGTATGAACGATACTCTGGTACTGGGAACTAGGCAAAAATCATCTCCAATTTTGTTTCTCTTCCACAATCTTTGCCTTTCTCAAATCTATTCACCATGCTACTGCCAGAATATATTTAAAAATGCAAACTTGACCCCTCTCCCTGTTTTATGGATCTTTTCCACCTACAGAGTAAAATTCCAACTTGTCTTTTAAAATATGGTCCTTGACTAGATTTATAGCCTCAGTTTCAATTTGTCCACTCTTTCTATCACCCCATCCTTACTGAGAACACACACACACACACACTCCAGCAACAGTGAACTGATGATAGCTTCCAAATATGTTCCATTCCCTTTACCTAGAAAGTATTTCTCTTATTTCCACCCACTTTCTTCCCTAAAAATAACCATAATTCATCTTTAAAACTAAGCTAGACATTATATCCTCTATGACAGTGCTTCTCAAACTCTAATGTGCATCTGATTACCTGTGGATCTCGTAAAAATGAAGATTCTTGTCCAATAGGTGTGGATGAAGCCTGAGAATGTGCATTTCTCACAAGCTAGTGATGCTGTTGCTGATGGTCCAGGGACCACACTTCGAGTAGCAAGGCTCTAGGAAGTTTTTGCTTATGTCATCATTTCCCCTGATAGAGCCTATCACTTTTTCTGTTCTCTTCCCTTTGACCATATTTCTGTTTTTGCTCTAATTGTTGTGTAATAATTTTACTTGTTTATACGTCTGCCTTCTCAGCCACACCAGGAATATCTTGAAAGTAAAGACTGTGCCTTTTTCATCTTTGTTTTCATGAGGATACTTACATGGTGCTGAGCATATGACATAAAGGAAGCATTTGATATTTACTTGTCGAATGACTGTTGTTGAATGACATGTAATCGTTACTTTGTGGAAGATGAAACCATGCAACCATTTTTACTTAAGAAAAAGTTCTGGAAGTTTGCCATTTGGATAAATATGGAACTCAGGGCATACACAGCATATTTGTTAAAACATACAGGTTTATTTGCTATATGCAGCTTTTAACTCTGTGTGCTCTATAAAGGGTAAGAGATATTTGTAACATTCTTTATTTTGAACACCAGCAGTAACTGTACACTAATAAATATTCATCTGAACCAAATATAAATACATAGTCTCAAAAAGTACAAAATGCAAAATGCAGCTAGAACCAAAACCTTGTATAGGGGAATTCTCTGTGAACACAGGGCCCCGTTTTCAAAATGTGAGAGGAAAAAAACCAGTCAGGAAGCCCCTTTTGTAGGATAGGACACTGAGAGGTGAACTATCTACACATGTTCAGTTAAGGCCCCAACAAATCTGAGCTTAAAAAAGATAACACCATACAGACAGAAATTTTCTAAACCAGACCACAGAGATCAGTCAATTATAATGTTTTCCTTCTAGGCTGAATGGTCCAGAAATCATCTCTAATTAAGGGTTCCAAAAGAGAATGTACAAAATGCTAAAAAGTAAACAGGGGTGATTTGGGATGAGTTGAGTAAGATGATCTTCTGAATGACAGAGGTTTATCTTGAGGCTCCCTGTTTCACAATAATTATAGTTAAAAGTTGTGCATTTGAACCTCAAACCAGTCAAAATATCACACGATTTAGAAGAGCTGATGCAACACCATCCAATAATGTCTCTATGAACTTTATCTGAACACTGTATGAAAATTAAATCTCTCTTACACGAGGGAACACTCTTTCCTATAAAGTGTCTAAGGAGACTATAGCTCAAAGTTGGAATGATAATTAAAGGACATATTTATACTTCTGCAGGAGAATCTTTTGAAGTTGCTTTGAAGCTCATCTATAAATGGCTTCATACAATATGACTCTGGTGGGATGGGAAAATTAAAGGCTTATTTAACTGAGTAACTTCAAAGTCATTAACTATGACCAAGGTGAGGATGCAGATGAGGAAAAAGAAGATCCTATTCCAAGTTGGAGGGCCATACCAGCAACCACAGAGGCCCATACAAGAGCAACGTTACCGGCTGGTGGTGCTACGTTGACTTCTTTATTGGCTTTCTATGTCTTTTCCTTCTTCTGTATCGATCTCCTTTGCAACACCTTTCATTCTCAGTAGGAGCAGTGTTGAGTAGGAATAAAGAATCTGCATTGGACTCGGACAGATTCAGGCTAGAATCCTGGTTCTGTTCTTAGTTCTGTCACTTTCAGCAGGTGTGTTGAGTTTTTAAAGCCTTATTTCCATTATCTGTAAAATGAGAATAGTAATACTATTTCCTGGGTTGGTGTGATTGCAGGGTGGACTGGGATTCTGCAGGAACGTCTCATAGCTCAGGACATATCTACTTCACTTATACAAGCGCTCAATCCACAGTAGGCACTCTTTTACATCTTGGAAGCCCACCAGTCAGTGTCTGGCTCAGTTTCCATCCAGATGGTTTGGGCAAAAACAGCCTCCTTATTTCTCTCCTAGAATTTTAAGAGCCTTGAGGTCTCAACATTAAAATTGCTAAACCCTAGGGCCTAAACAGGATTCAATTTCTCTGTAAGGCCATACTGATCAACACAATGCTGCCCTCTGTTGATGAGGGTGGGATAGTGCAGAGAGGAGTCCGATTCCCAGAGCCCAGAAAAAAGAATGATCAAGTCTCCAGCCAGAGTCGGTATTCAGAAGTAATCATTTCCTCCCAGGAGGCTGGTGGAAGGATTCTGTGCAGAAGAGGAGGCACAATCACCTGCATAGCTTTGTACAAAAAGTGAGCACTGAAGTGGTAAAACCTAAGGCCTTTTTTGGTACCAGTTGGTTCCCCACCATCAGATGCCCTCTCCTTTCTGCCCAGATATCAGATACCCAGTTCTCCAACTGTGGGATCTGAATTGTTCACCCAATCCATACAATGGAGCTCACCATGCTCCCTTTGAGGAGAGAGGTGGCAGTGTACTCCGTGAAACCTCATAAAGCTGCTTCTCAGAATATCCAGCCTTTGGTGTGAGCAGCTGCTCCCTCATTCTCTAAGTCAGGAAGCTGTGGCTGGCAGCCTCATGGCAACAGAGCACACTCTTTCTGACTTTTGTTAACTCACCGGTTTTCCTGGAGAAAGAGTGATGCTCCTGTTCCCCTTGGCTGCACATCCTGGGATACTGTGTTGTTGGGTCAAATAAAAAGTTTCTCAAACCATAAACTTTAGATACATGTTTAAAATGATAATAAAAATAATCTGGGGTTGTATCCCTGTCTCTTCCTATTGCTAAGAAGTGCAAGAAATGTTGCCTGAAAGCTGTCAGACTGAGGTTTGTGTGCCACATGTGACAAGAAGCTAGAGGGAAGGCAGAGACATCACCACTGTCCTGGCCTGACTCCCAGCTCTGTGGCTGACCCTCTTGCCTGTGGCCTGGCTGCTAGCCTCTGTCAGGATGTTGCCTCCGTGGCAGCTCAGGGACTGGAGCCAGAGGCCCGGCTGCATCTGCAGAGTGCTGGGCTGGTGGCAGCTTTTAATGCTCTATGGAAGAAAAACATTCTTCCTCCATTCAGGATCTGCCCCCTGTGGCCTGGCACTGAGTGTCCACTAAAGTCCTGATTCTGCAATTTCAGCCAGTTGACCCAACAGTCTAGAGAAGGGTGGCCGGTCTTCTGGTCTCTGGAGAGGAGAAAAAAGAACTCTGTGAGTTTCTTGTACTTGTATGTCATAGCCAAATCCAAAGCAAATCAGAATTCAATAGCAGTATCCTCTGCTGATTCTTAAATATGCTTTCATGTAGATTGTATCGGAAGCATTGTGTCTTAGTTAACAGCAGGTATTCTGGAATCAGAGTGCTTAGTCATAAATCTCAGCTTTACCACTCATTAGCTGTGTGACAACGAGCAGGTAACATAAGCTCTTTGAACCTCAGTTTTGTCATCTGTAAAGAGGGGATGATAATAGTATCTACCTCATAAAATTGTTTTGAGAATTAAACAAATCATACATTAAAAAGCATCATAAAATTAATGCTAAATAACACCCCAAAATGAAATATTTAGTTATAGATCTCATAAAACATGTACAGGATCTATATGAGGAATAATATAAAATTCTAATGAAAGAAACTAAAGAAGATCTAAATAAATAGACAGATATTCCATGTTCATGGATAAGAAAACTCTATAGTGTTAAGATGTCAGTTCTTCCAAACTTGATCTATAGATTCAACACAATCACAATCAAAATCCTATATTTTGTGAATATTGACCAGCTGACTCTAAAGCTTATATGAAGAGGCAAAAGACCCAGAGAGCCAATACAATAATGAAGAAGAACAAAGTTGGAGGATCAACACTACCTGACTTCAGAACTTACTATAAAGTTGCAGTAGTCATGAAATTGTTGTATTGATGAAAGAATAAACAAACAGGTAATGGAAGACCAGAGAACAGATATAAACCCGCATAAATAAAGTAAACTGGTCTTTGACAAAGGGTCAAAGGAGAAAGGGAAGTCTTTTCAACAAACAGTGCTGGAATAATTGGATATCTGTATACAAAACAATGACTCTAGTCATAGACCTTACACCTTTCACAAAAATTAACTCAAAGTGGATCACAGACCTAAAGGTAAAAATGCAAAACTGTAAAAATTCCATAAGATAACATAGGAGAAAATCTGGGTGACCTGGGTTTGGAAATGAGTTTTTAGATACAACACCTAAAGCACAACTTATGAAAGAAAACTTTGATGTTGAACTTTGTTAAAAATAAAAACTTCTGCCCCTCAAAAGACACTGTTACGAAAATGAAAAGACAAACCACAGGCAGGGAGAAAATATTTGCAAAACATATATCTGATAAAGGACTTGTATCCAAAATATACAAGGAATTCTTAAAACTCAACAATAAGAAAACAAACAACCCAACTGAAAAATGGACAAAATACCTAAACAGACATTTTACCAAGAAGATATAGAGACGGCAAGTAAGCATGTGAAAAGATGCTTAACATCATGTCATTAGGGAAATAAAAATTAAAACAATATTGCAATGCTATTACACATCTATTAAAACAGCTGAAATCCAAAACAACAAAGTATCAGGAATTCTTACTGCTGGTGGGAATGCAAAATGGTACAGCTACTTTGGAAGACAGTCTGGCGGTTTCTTACAAAGCTAAACATAGTCTTACCGTATGATCCAGCCATCACATTCCTAGGCATTTAGCCAAGTGAGTTGACAATGTATGTTCATGCAAAAACCAGCACATAAATGTTTATAGTAGCTTTATTCATAATTGTTAAAAACTGAGAGCAACCAAGATTTCATTCAGTAGGCTAATGGATAAACAAACTGTGGTGTATCCATACAATGAAATATTATTCAGCGATAAAAAGAAATGAGCTATTAAGCCATGAAAAGAAATGGAGGAAACTTAAATGCCTATTACTAAGTGAAAGAAACCAGCCTGAAAAGGCTACATGCTGTATGATTCCAACTATATGACATTTTGGAAAAAGGCAAAACTACGGAGACGGTAAAAAGATCAGTTGTCACCAGCAGTTTGGGGATGGGGAAGGGGTGACTAGGTGGAGCACACATGACTTTTAGGCCAGTGAAACTATTCTGTGTGATACAATAATGGTGGCTACATGGCATTATGTCAAAACCCATAAGCACAAAGAGTGAACCTGAATGTAAACTAGGGACTTTAGTTAAAAATAATGTATCAATAGAGGTTTGTTAATTGTAGCAAACGTACCACACTCATACAAAATGTTAATAAACGGGATACAGGGTACAGGGGAGGAGGGTATTTGGGAACTCTGTACTCTGCTCAATTTTTCTGCAAATCTACAACTTCTGAAAAACAAAGTCTATTACTTTAAAAAATCAATAAAATATAGTTAAAAAGGAAAAAAACAAGTGCTAAATAAATGTCAGCGATCATTATTATTTTTGTATTTAATCCTTATGAAGTGGATATGATTTGTTTTGTGCTCTTGTTTATATCTTTATTGTTTATTTCACTATTTTTAATTATAAAAACTTTATGAACTTACAGATCAAGCATTATTTAATTACCAGTAAGAAAAAGGAAATTCGAAGAATTGTCCAAGATTAATGGTAAAAAAAATGGTAAAGCTGAGACAAAATACAAGTGTCCTATATTTTTTGTATTCTACCTTGTTGTCCTTCAATGATCTGAAATTTTATTAACTCTCTATTTTAGTAACTTTCCATTTAGCTGAAATTTACAATTTTATAACTCACCAAAGGACATCTAAGATTCATGTCCATGTGTCTCAAGGCATAGCCTGTGACCCAAGCATGAGATAATTGAGCCATCTGGGAAGGTGCTGAGTAACTGGCTCCCCACTCTGAATTACCAAATGAATAAATGAACTTTAATTAAACCATTTTAATATTTTCACAGCACAGATGAACTTTTGTCTCTTAATTAATAGAACTAACTTCATGTACTTATTATTTTTTTTTTTTCCCCTTTTTTGTCTTTTTTTCATGACCGGCAACGGATCGCAACCCTCAGTGTCGCGCCCGTACCGGACCGGGACAAGCAACAGGATCGCAACCCTTGGCGTTGCACCCACCCCTTGCTCAGCCAGTGAGCGGACGGTCTGTATGTGGGATCCGAACCCTCGGCGGGAGCACTGCCGCGCTTCCCAAGCAGTGCACTGTAGCAGTGCGCCACCGGGCCGGCCCCATGTACTTATTTTTATGATGTTATAGATGGCTTGCGCCGCCGCGCTTCCCAAGCGGTGCACTGTAGCAGTGCGCCACCGGGCCGGCCCCATGTACTTATTTTTATGATGTTATAGATGGCTTTTTTTTCTTTTTTCAAAAAATTGAGGAGGGAGTAACTTTTTATACTTTAATGATTTTATGATGTTAGAATTTTTTTTTCTCTTAGAAAATTGAGAAGGGAGTTGATATAGGCCTTACCCCATCCTCCTCTCTGAAACTATGCTTATGACATTGACATCAGATATAGGAAGTCAAATAATAGTTAAGGTCACTGTCAGCTTCTTTAGGAAGGGGGAATATGTCCAGTTAATAGACCCTCAAAGTCATGTTCTTGCTAATCTATTTTAGTCGTCCTTCCTGCCACATCCTTCGGAGAGAGTTCCTTTCTCTAGGGAAGGAGGCAGGATCTGAAAGTGCATATTATAACACAGGGGGAAGTCACTTCCTCTACTGACCTCTTTCCAGCAATGATTCATGATCTGGTAGATAAGCGAAGAGGCCAGTCGGGGCTTGTATAACCGAAATCCAGTACTGATGTCTTCCACCACCTCGGAGTTGCTTCGGTTTTCATATGGGATTTTACCTTCACTGAAGACTTCCCACATCAGCACACCTGTGGGAAATGAGCACAGTGCAGATAATGACAAAGTCACAAATAGCCAACCAACAACCCTACCTCTAGATTCAAATCCCTAACTTCAGAAGTACAATATCAAGCCTGCCTGAAGCTTATTAGGCTTGTCCTATTTTTAAAGAACTGAAATCTTCCAATCATCCTGGTGGCAAAGAATTTTCAAGCTCAGCCCTTTGTTATATCTAACTCAAATATTATGATTAAGAATTGCAGGGGAAGTAAACTCAGAGGTCTACACACATGATGGGAATGAATGGAGTGGCTGAGGTGTGATGCAGTAGGGTCTGGTCAGGACTGTGGAAAACTGGAGGTCAAAAGTTCTGTTTTAAGGGGACAGCTGGGATTTGGCTCTGGCCAAAATACAGCCCATGGAAATGAGGGCTCAACATTGTCACATTTTCTAATTTTTTAAAAGAATTCAGAAACTGAGAGTTTAAACTCTCAGTTTAAAAGTATGGACTCAATTTGTTTTTAAAAGTACTGTGTAGATTGAGCAAAACACATCTTCAGGTTGTCCATTTTTAATCTCTGATTTAATCTCTTTCCTCTTCTACCCTCAGTAGAAATGTCACACCCAGCTTTGTCTTTATGATGTGCTAATATATTCATAGCCTGTCGGAGAAGAAAGAGAGATTGCAGATGACCCAGTGCTTTCTGAGATATATTCCAGAGAACCTTGGGGCAGTGTTTCCCAAAGTCTGATTCCCTGAATGCCTAAATAAAAATACCTCAGGAGTTTGTTCAAATGGCAGATTCCTGGGCCCCAGCCCAGACCTAGTGGGCCAGAATTTCTAATGGGTCCTCAGATGTGGCTCAGGAGTTGGAAATTCAGAACCTGACTATTAAGACAGTTCAGCATGGAAGATGCCAGGATTTCTAGTCAGATTTCTTTTGACAGGGGGGTGCTGCTGCTAAAACATGGTTTAATAACAATTGCTTTAATATAAACCTTCTAATGCATAGACGAGAAAATTGAGTGAAGCTCAAAGAGGTTACCTGACTTGCTCAAAACAGCACAGCTAATTAGCCTAAAAACCTAAAACGTATGACAGAGTCTGACGGGCTGAGGCAGGCATGAAGCTCTTGGCCCATCCAGATTTCTGTTGCTCAGGCTTTCCCCTCCCCCCCCCTCCCAGTTTTCTCACACTTTTCCTCACTGAGTCCTTTCTACTCTGCAACCATCCATCAACCTCATCTCTGGACTGTCTTCAAATAACACGTCTTAGCCAGGGACGAATTTCAGCCCAACCCTGTAATTACAAGATGCAGCAGAAAATTCCCAGGCTGACATCCTGTGGCTGAATAAACTTCATTCAGAGTCAGAAGGTGGATGTGTCAATGTGGCCGTTGCCCAAACATCTCTTTATGGGGCCCTGGCTTGGGGCAGGGTGATCAGCTTCTTTACCGCAGAGAGATGGCCCCACATCAGCCCTATCTTAGTTATACACACTGGGGAGAGGAGAGGCATCCCAGAATGCCTTCTGTGCAATTTCTTCCAAGTTCATTTCGCAACTTAAACCTGGCCAACAAAGTAGCATCCAGGCCCCGTGAATAGGACACTGTCTTAATGAACAGATCCGAAGGACTCATCATTATAACAAACCACTTGGCCCTTGGAAATAAGTACTCTAAAATGCTGAGGAAGATTTTAAAACCAGTTCTTCTCCTAAGGCATTTAATTAGCCAGTTTCCCCCACTTTCTATTAGTAAATGCTTAGCAAACTTTTTCTTCATATAGAATGAAAAAATCAATCTGCAAGCAGTTCCTGTCCAAAGAATAACCCTTCTTGTACTCCAAATTAAAGAGGTTGTCTGGTATATTTTTGTGCATAAACTATTTAGTATGCACAAATTATTACTTAGGGTGACATGACAAATCCAGCAAGAACTTTTAGTTTTTCCTGGCATACCAACATCATTCATTCATTTATACCCACTTGCACTTTTTAGAAATTCTAATTCTTCACCATGGCCTGCCAACTTCATTGCCTACTGTTCTTCCACTAAGTCAGTACCCTCTGTTCTTTGGACATACCAAGCTTTTGTACTTGCTATTCCCTCTCTCAGGGACACTGTTCTCTTGCTTTTTGAATGGTGACAACTCGCTCTCATCATTTAAGTCTCTGCTAAAGAGTCACCTCCTCAGAGAGGCCTTGCCAGACCACACTAGTTAAAACAGACCCTCCCTCTATCCCAGTTACTCTATCCTATTGCTGTTTTATTTTATTTATAGCACCTAATTATCCCTGCCTGACTTAATCTTATATCCATTAGCTTGTTTATGTGATTGTTAACTGTCTTGCCTCTGCTCTAAAATTTAGCTCCAAGAGGATAAAAGTCTTTTCTGTCCCATGCACCACTGCACCCTCAGCACCCCTGGCATGTAGAAGATGCTCAGTTAACTGTTGTTGAATGAAGGAGGGTAAAGTGTGGGAAAATAATGTTGGACAAAACATGTTCACTGCCTTCAAGGGGCTCATCTTCAAATCTCTGGACTCCTCCAGCTTTTGACCTCACAGCAACTGCCACCAGAATCCTGTTTCCACTTTTATTTTTACCTCTCCCACCTTTTCAAAGATCTCCAAGAACAAATACAATAATGAGGGCCCCTTCGTACTTCTCAGGGCCATTCTTCACAGACCCTCAGTGGGACGTCCTCATGATACAGGTTTCAAGGCAAGTAGCATGTGACAAAGAAAACAGCTGGCCCCCAGTCCCATGTTGTGTGGGGATGGGGCAGGATGACACTCACCAAACGACCACACATCCGACTTGCTGCTATAGCGACTGAAAGAGAAAACTTCCGGGGATGCCCACTTCACCGGGAATTTGGTGCCTGTGGAACTGGTATATTGATCATCAAGGACAAACCTGGGGAGAGAGCACAGGGAGAAGGTTAGAATGTTCGGGGGCCTGACTCCCATTCCTGAGACTGCTGGCACTGCATCTCATATTACCTTGTCATCCCAAAGTCGGACACCTTGATAACTTGGTTTTCTCCCACCAAACAATTTCGGGCAGCCTGGAGAGGAGACAGGCAAACAAAAGGGAGAGGAAAACTGTTGGTGGGTAATCAGTAATTAAAGAGTCTCCTATAATCACAGTCCTTTACTGTGCTATGTGCTGTTGCACGAGGGCATCGAGGAGCTTTACAAACATTAATTAAGCTTCACAAACGCCTTCTGAAAGTTTGCTAGAAAGATGAATGTGCAAGATCCGTTATTAGGATAAGTGAGTTTATCTTCATTCCTGGATCCTAATTAGAGGAGAAATCCATGCTGTTGTTTAACTAACAATATGCTCAAATGCAACCTGATGCAATATGAAATGTTAACGTTAGGGGTAATATGAAGAAAGTGTCTCCCATTTGACTAAAATAAGAATGTTTTGAAGTTGTTAATCCTCTTAAAACTATTCCTCAATAGGGAGGGTACCTGACCCCTAATTAGTGTCACAAAATGGTGCATTGGAAGGGCCCTTGGAAAGCAGACTCTGGTGAGTTTCAAATTTTAATGTGCCTACAAATCACATGGGGGGATGTATTAACATAAATATTCCTGAGCCCCAGCCACCAGAGATTCTGAGGGTGGTTTAAGGGTTATCCCATGTGATTCTGGTAGATCTTTGGATAACACTTTAGGAAAAACTGTGGTTGGCCATTTCTTTCACTTTACCAGGAGGAAACTGAGGCACAGAGAAGCTAAGAAGGTGTGCTGTTATCTCCATTTTGGAAGAATTTAAACTGAAACTCAGAGAGTGAAAGTGGGAGGGAGGGCTGGGATTAGAGCCCAGGTCCAAGTCCTCAGGATGCCCCTTCCTCCTGGGGCCTCCCAAAGTGGGTGGAGGAAGGAAGAAGGTGAGAAAGGAAGGGATCTGTGATTGTTCGTTATGACTGCAGTCTGGGTAGCTCTATGTTTCAGTGGGACATGCCCTTTCATGCTGGACCTGTAGGTGTTCATCCCGCATGCTCATACCAGGTCTCTGTGGATGACACACGCCTCTTCCAGGTAGGTCATGCCCTCGCACACGTCCAGGCACATGCCCAGCAGCGTCTCTGCAGCAAAGAGCCCCCGCTGGCTGCGCAGGTAATCCGACAGGCAGCCATGCTCCATGAACTCAAACACTAGGCAGATGGGGGCCTGCTCCAGGCACACTCCATAGAGCTGGACCAGTTTGGGATGAGAGAGTTTCCTGGAGGAAAAAGGCATGGGGTAAAATGACCCAAACTCAGTTTCCCCAAAAGTGCTGAACATTTTATGGCACCAAAATAGCTGATGTTTACCTTCACCCAACTCTTGGTTTTGAAAACAATATCCACTCCCTCCCCAAAACAGAAACATGTCATTTGAGCCAAGATCTGAAGGATGGCAGCCAGTATATGTGCAGATGAACAGAGGTCAGTGTGGCTGGCATGTCGTGGACCAGAGAAGACAGGAATAGGAGATGAAACTAGGGAGGTGGGCAGGGCCAGACCATGGTGGGCCTTGAGGACCATGGTAAGGAGTTTCATTTTATTCTTTGTGCAATAGGAAGTCACTGCTGGGATTTGAGCCGGGAGGTGGCACCACATGGCATTAGAATGGTATTCAGAGAACATGGCACAGGGTATCCTCCCCAGGGGTCTGTGTACCCTTGTTTTGGCCACTTACATCATGATTTCAGCCTCCTCTATGAAGTCCTCTTCTGACATCGCCCCTTCCTGGATGGTTTTGATGGCCACCTTATCCTTGTTGAGCCAGTAGCCAAGATGCACCAACCCAAACTGCCCACTGCCGATCTCCTGTACAAAAGTGAGCTCTGAAGGATGGATCACCCACTTCCCTGGAAGAAAGAGAGAGGGTTTTCCAGTCAGCAAGTAGTAGATACTAGGTGTAGGGCTACCAGGGGACTATATAGCCCTACTAGAATTTTATTTTTTATTTATTTATTTTTTTTTAGTATAATTTTTTAAATTGTAAGTTTATATAATCTAATTTTTAATTATGGCTATGTTTAACAACAGGCTTACAAATTCTTTTTTTTTAAATTTATATAATCTAATTTTTAATTATGGCTATGTTTAACAACAGGCTTACAAATTCTTTTTTTAAAAATTTTTAAAAAAAATTTTTATTTTGTCGATATACAATGTGGTTGATTATTGTGGCCCATTACCGAAACCTCCCTCCCTC